GGGGCTAGGGGGGACGGGCTGCGGGGCCAGGAGCGACGTGCCGCGGGGCCGGGAGCGACGGGCCAAGGGCCTAAGGGCGAAGGGCCGCGGGGCCTAGGGGCGACGGGCCGGGGGCCTAGGGGCGACAGGCCGCGGGGCCAGGAGCGACGGGCCGTGGGGCCGGGAGCGACGGGCCTAGAGCCTAGCGGTGACGGGCCGCGGGGCCTAGGGGCGACGGGCCGGGGGCCTAGGGGCTTCGGGCCGCGGGGCCAGGAGCGATGGGCCGCGGGGCCAGGAGCGACGGGTCGGGGCCTAGGGGCGACGGGCCGCGGGCCTAGGGGCGACGGGCCGCGGGGCCAGGAGCGACGGGCCGCAGGGCAGGGAGTGACGGGCCGGGGGCCTAAGGGCCACGGGCCACGGGGCCTAGGGGCGACGGGCCGGGGGCTCAGGGGCGACGGGCCGGGGGCCTAGGGGTGACGGGCCGCGGGGCCAGGAGCGACGGGCCGGGGGGCTAGGGGCGTCGGGCCGCTGGGCCTAGAGGCGACGAGCGATGGGCCGCGGGGCCTAGGGGCAACGGGCCGCAGGGCCAGGAGCGATGGGCCGGGGCCTAGGTTAGGGGCGACGGGCGACGGTCGACGGACCGGGCCTAGGTTAGGGGCAACGGGCCGCGGGGCCAAGGGCGACGGGCTACTGGCCGGGCCTAGGGGGGGCGACGGGCGACGGGCCGCGGGGCCAGGGGCGACGGGTCGGGTCCTAGGAGCGACGGACGACGGGCCGGGCCTAGGGGGCGACCGGCGATAGGCCGGGGCTAGAGTTCATCGTGCAGGCCGCACCAAGGCAGTGCACAGAGTAGCAGGGGCGGCACGAGGGTCGCTAGCAGGGCAGCTCAGTGGTGGGCCCAAAAAAAAACTTCGGTCCTAACGGAGGACTTGCTCTGAAACCATGTCAAGAACTAATGAACAAGAATGAATGAACTATGAAACAGTTGGGTACAAGTACTAACCCTAATTTGGTTGTACCCCTTATGGGCTACCCCACTATAGCCTACACAAATGTAAGCACTATAACATTCTGACACATAGGCACCTATGTCAACGCAGTTCCCTCTTCTGGGGTGAACATAGTCGATGGCATATGGATTTTCAGGGTGAAGCGGCCGCCGGGATCTCCGCCTGCCTTCAAGGCTCGTTACGTTGCACGAGGCTTCAGTCAGCGACAGGGATTTGACTTCTTCCAGACTTTCTCCCCTACCCCGAAGATGACCACTCTTTGGGTATTGCTGCACGTCGCCACTCAGCGTGACTACGAGCTTCACTCTCTTGACTTCAGCACAACTTTCTTACAGGGCAGCCTGCATGAGGAGATCTGGCTGCGCCGCCCACCTAGCTTCACTGGGTCGTTTCCTGCAGGTACCCAGTGGAGCCTCCGGCGGCCAGTCTACGATCTCCGCCAGGCGCCTCGCGAGTGGCACGACACACTGAAGATGACGCTTGTGGCTCTTGGGTTTGCTCCTTCTACTGCTGACCTGTCGCTGTTTCTACGCACTGACACTTCGTTGCCGTCGTTCTACGTCCTCGTGTACGTCGACGACTTGGTCTTTGCTACTGCTGACACTGAGGCTTTGGCCCTTGTGAAGTCGGAGCTACAGAAGAGACACACCTGCACTGACCTGGGTGAGCTGCGCAGCTATCTTGGCTTGCAGATCACTCAGGACAGAGCACGGCGCACCATCTCCCTGACTCAGTCACACATGGTGCACCAGGTCCTTCAGCGCTTCGGCTTCCGGTACTCCTCGCCACAACCCACTCCTCTGCCTACCGGTCACTTGCTCTCAGCTCCACCTTCGGACGAGTCCGTAGAGCCGAGTGGCCCGTATCCAAAGCTTGTGGGCTGCCTCATGTACCTGATGACCTGCACTCATCTGACCTTGCCTACCCTCTTAGCATCCTGGCACGCTACGTTGCGCCCGGGAGACACCGACCAGAGCACTGGGAGGCCGCTAAGAGGGTGTTGCGCTACTTGTATAGTACACCGGGCATGGGGCTTGTGCTTGTAGGACGGGGTCCAGTTGTCCTCACTGGTCACGCAGACGCTTCTTGGGTTGACGACTTGGCTACTCGGCAGTCGTCATAGGGTTACACTTTCAGCCTTGGCTCCGGTTCTGTTTCTTGGCGATCTACCCGCCCGTCTTCTGTTCTCAGTTCCAGTTGTGAGGCTGAGATCTACGCAAGAGCCATGGCTGCACAGGAGCTACGCTGGCTCACCTACCTGCGGATCGACTTGGGAGAGCGGCCTCATTCTTCTCTAGTTCAGTACGTAGACAACACAGCCATGATTGCCTTGTGTCAGGAGCACAGACTAGAGCATAGAACGAAGCACATCGCTCTACGTTACTTCCTTGCTCGAGAGTTGCAGCAGCGTGGTCAGCTTCGTCTTTCTTACGTGGCCACTAGGGCCAACACTGCTGATATATTCACCAAGGCACTTCAGTCTGGTGATCATCAGCGTTTCTGTACTGTTTTAGGCCTTGTGCCTACTTTGCCTCACTTGCTCACTACGTGACTTTGCTTGTACTGCGATCTGTATATACATCTGCATGCTTACACTTGCTAGGGAATGATCGCTGTACTGTTTGTACTTTTTTATATAACTCTGCATGTGAACTGGCCTTGTGGCCATGTGCTTGTGCTCGGAATGTGTGGTGACTTCGTGATCCACCATGAGCTTGCTTTGCTTTTCTTGACTGGTCTTGTGGCCACTTGTTCTCCCCCACTTTGCCTATGGGGGTGTGTCAAAATGTTATACTGTTTATATTGTGGAGGCTATAGTGTGGTAGCCCATAACGGGTACAACCCAATTAGGGTTAGTACTTGTACCCAACTCTTTCATAGTTCATTCATTCTCGTTCAGTATTCTGACATTTCGTTACAGGGTTACCTTCTAACCCTGGGGGTAACGACGCGGTAATGGTCGTCGTTAACTTACTGACGAAAATGGCTCACTTTGCTGCGTGCAGGAAATCGATCTCAACCGAAGAAACCGCTCGCCTGTTCATCGCAACCGTCGTTCGACTGCACGGGATACCAGCCGCAATTATCAGCGACCGCGACACGAAGTTTACCAGCAACTTCTGGGAGAACCTCTCGGAGCAGATCGGGAGCAGTTCGGGAGCAGTTTAGCTCGTCGTACCACCCCGAGACCGACGATCAAACGGAGCGGACGAATCAGACGATGGAGCGGTTGATTCGTGCCACGTGCGACGACCCGACAACTTGGGAGCAGCAGCTGCCCCTGATCGAGTTCGCTTACAACAACGCCACGTCAGCGACAACGCAACAGTCCCCGTTTTACCTGAACTACTGGCAAAACCCAACATTGCCCATGACGCCGAGTCCGGACAACCCAACGCCACGAGCACAGCAATTCGCCGAGATTCTGCAAGCTGCCCGCAACAGAGCCGCAGAAGCAATTCAAAAGGCCAACGTCATCGCAAAACGCAACGCTGACCGCCACCACTGCCCAGTCACGTACCAGTCAGGGGATTACGTACTGCTCGACACACTGAACTTAAGACTGCCCGTCGTACCAAAATTATGACCGCGCTACCATGGACGATTTCAAATCAGCCGCATGATCACCCCAGTCACCGCCCATTTACTATTGCCGACAGACTGGTACATTAGCCCATCATTCCACGTCAGCCTGCTTCACCCTTACATCCCAACCACGAACCAAGTGCCTCATCACCGCCCACCATCCATGACCCGCCCTGCATCGGAGCCGACCATCGAGCCCGAAAAAATGCTGAGCCATCGGATTCGACACCCCATATGCATCAAGAGGATCGAGTTCCTCGTTCGCTGGAAGGACCGCACGCCAACTGAGGATAGCTAGGTGCCCCTGGCCAACATCGAAAATCACCCTGCCCTGCAAGTATACCTGAGGAGCCGGGGTTTTCACGATATACACGCACTCGCGTAGCGGGGGGGGGGGTAATGTAAGGAAATTTCTCACTATTCCTTATTGCGACCGTCAACATCGCGTACAGCCGCAACCTTTGTTCGCCCGTTACTGCTAACGGGGCTTCGCCAACTTCGTGCGCCAACTTCGCGCGCACTGTTTCACCAAACCTCGCACTGCTGAAGCAGCCGAGTCGGCCTATACTTCGGGACTAGCCCGAACCTTGCGCCAGGATAGCACTAGCTAGCTCGCACGCACCGCATTACCGTTTGCATGTTTCTCATATAAGTATTCGCTCATGCCTTCGCTCATACTTTGTACTCATTGAACACTTTAGTGCAATCCTAGCTACGTAGATTCATTGCACCCGTAACATTTTCCAGTTATTTAGTTTTTGCTTGTGCCTTCTCTCACCTTTGTATTAGTTTTCTCCGTTAGTGCAATCCTCGTTTGCACCTCGCATTGCACGAGTAAACAGAGAATACAGTACAGTAGTACCTTCCGTTCAGTTCTCCTGCCACTCAGAACTGGGATCAGCATCGAAGAGGATTTGGGTGTGCATGTAGCCTCATCATGCCAATTCCTCGTCGTTGATAGGTACAAATTCTTCCTGGTGCACTAGATCCTGAAAAGCGGAAAACTGGCACGTGAGGGAATGCCGAAGTGTGCGCTTCGGGAACGTGATTGGAGCCATTGACTTATCGACAACTGGATGATGTGGCGAGCTTCATGAGCTGGATGCACCCATGTGGATCATCCAGCTCAGCTCGCCACACCACACCGAGCTCACGCGCGAGCCGCACCCATCCCTGAATGAATAACCACCTGAAAGCTCCAAGCCCCGCCGAGACCAGAACCATGGGCGAGATTCAGAATAGCTCCCAGAAAAACCGCCCCTCACTAATCTCCACCCACATTCACTGGTTGGGTGGCACGAGATTGGCACGAGATTTCAAGCTTCCAGTTAGCTCGTACCGTGCAGCTCCTGTTGTCGTTGTTGACCAAAGCGCCTCTCCACACTTATCTGTAGTTTCCAGGCCTTTGCACGACTTTCCGACAGAATGGCTGCAACTCTTTCGTCCTCGGCAACCGCCTCCCTTCGCTCTCTCTCCATCACAGAGGGAAGCACCCTCGCCACTTCCTCCCGCGCGGCAATCCCAGCGTTCTCCGGCCTCAAGGCGCACAGGGGCCTCTCCGCCTCTGCCGGGGTTCAAACATGCACCTGCGTGTCATGCGGCCGATCCTGCGCCTGCCCTTGCGCGAAATGCGGTAACCGTCGCACCAGCATCGTCGCCATGGCCAGCGGAGACAGCCAATTCGCCAGCGTTTCCCAATCCACGGCAGCTCCCGCCGCTCCCGCCACCAGCGCTCTCATCCCCGCCGTCGTCGGCGCCGGCGCTCTGGGCGCCGCAACCTACGTCGCCGTGAAGAAGCTCACCGCGTCTCCCGCCGCCGCTCCCGCCGCACCCGCCCCCTCGCCTCCCGCGGTCACCAGCGTCCCGCCCAGCGGCATCGTTCCGCGCGCGAAGCACGCGGCGGCGTCCGCTCTCGCGACGATGGCGACGACGTTCCCGTCGGCGATGCAAGAGGAGGCGTTCCTGAAGGCCGTGGCGGTGGAGCTGGCGAAGCTGGGGTTCCGCAAGGACAACGGCATCGCGCTGGTGAACACGTGCCGCGACGAGGTGTGCCGGCCCGTGGTGAGCATCATTGACCGCGAGTTCGGGCTGAGCTTCAACATCTCGGGGCTGGGCGGGCTCGTCAACTGCGGCAAGGTCGGCTTCGGAGCCGCCATGAGCCACTCGCCCGAGTTCCCCTGCGACGTCGACGGCAACCTCAAGGAGCGATGTGACTTTCAGTTCTCATCACGGTTACCCTAGTGTGAATTGAGTAGCATTCGAATTTACCTTGTTTTCCACTTTGCCGCGTGGCATTCCAAGCATTTAATGATTCTTCGTCGCTTCTCCTCTGTTCAACTGGCAATGTCTTATCCTAAACTGCAACTCTCTTAATTTCCCGCTGCCGACATACCCATCTTGTTCACTAAATTAACCCTCGTATTCTTATTCCGTATCTTCCTCCTCCCCTCTGCAGACATTTTCTTCGCGTTCCCGCACGTGTCCATCGGCGAGTCGGGTGAGGTGGGGTCGCTGCTGCGTCGCGGTCGCGGCAAGGCGTCGAGCGCGTGCGGAGCGTTGATCGCCATCAACAACGACATCAACAACGGCGTGGCGCCCAGCATGGACAGCGACGACCCCGAGTACACGCTACTGCGCAAGAAGATCATGGCTAAGGTAAGATAACGTTAATAAAGAAAACATCAGTTTCTCATGTCATTGCCATTAGCTCTCACTAATGATGAGCCAAGAAATCAAGGTCAAGATGTACCTTTTCGCCACGAAAACTAGAAACTAAGCATCTCCCGCTTCTGAATCTCCCACCCTTATCTCATCTCGCAGGTGTCGGGCGGAGACCAGTCGCTGGTGGACGTGACGCGCGCGGCGTTGGCGGCGATAAACGAGGACCTTGAGAAGCTCATCTCGCTCACGGTGAACCCCGCCACGGCGGACTACGCCGTCATCACGGGCGTGCAGATCCACTCGGGCGACCAGATTCCCGGCCAGCCCTTCCGCATCGAGCGCACCTGCGACTACATCGCGCCCGACAAGATGTACGCCGTGGTTCGCGGCCAGAAGTACGATCTGAAGGTGGAGACGCCCAAGTCGCAAGGCGTCGCCGCCATGGTTTGAAATCCATCGAGTAATGGATGATTGTCTGTCTACGATTTTTTGTACCATTTGTTTTTGGCTGGGACAGGTGTCCCTGCTTTAGCATGTAAATTATGTGGCAGGTGTCCCTGCTTTAGCATGTAAATTATGTGGCAGGTGTCCCTGCCACCTGATATACTTATTAAGCTTTTATAACTGGTCATTCGTGCCAAAAAGCAGCACCACCTTCCGAGAGACAGTGGGTCGAAAGGACTTGCACTCCAGCAGCACTTCTGTGGTGCTAGCAGGAAGGAAACGTGGGGAAAATGGGCTGTGTTGCTTTCGTGCCTGGAAGCTGTAAAAATGCTCGACGTATCAGCGAAGAAGATTTGTTCGCGTTACCAGGTCCTCAGCCTCACTTGATTCGATACTTTAATAACGGAACAATGCAAGTGCTTACCTCACTTAACAGTGAGGTCCCGACCCGTCGCTCCTAGGCCATCCTTACTTAACAGTGCTCGTAAGTGTGCCTACTGATTCGATACAAGCGCTCTTCGTGTTTCGTATGCCAGTAAACCTTTTCATGGAACTTGAAATTCTATTAAATTGTTTCTTGAATGACGAATAACGATGGAGCACTTCCATGCTAGCACCCCTGCAAACCAAAGTTTGTGCTTCCTAATAGATCAGCCATGCTAATAACTCAAGCCCAGCTGAAGCCCAAGAAGCCCATGAGCAACAAAAAGCACCATGATGAGAATCCCCAAAAAACCATGCACAGACCGCAGGTCAGGATTTTCCTGAAAACACGGGGAAGATGCGGTTGATAGAGTTGATGGGGTTGACAGGGCAAGATGGGGGTTTGACGGGGTTGATGGGGTTGACGGGGCAAGATGGGGGTTTGACGGGGTTGATGGGGCAAGCTGGGGGGTTGATGGGGGGTTGATGGGTTTGCTGGGGTATGGAAACCGAGATGGCGACGATGGGTTGAGGAAACAGAGGCAAACAGGGACATGTATAGACAGAGGCAACTGATAGACTCGCAGGACAGTCATGACAGTGGAGAGGTGGGTTTTGAGAATTCTCAGAAAGCAGGTGGTTTTGGGGGGGTAAGTGGTGAGCAGAGCAAGGCAGAGAATGAGAGCGAGCAAGCACAGAGAAGGAAAGCGCATTCCTCTTGCTACAGTCCCTGCAGCACACCCCTTTTGCAGCACACCCTTTTGCAGCACACCCCTCTTGCAGCACACCCACCTTGAAGAAGCCAGTCATTGCGGTCTGAATGGTGAGCAGCAAAAGACCAGCCATGCCTGAATACGCGTGGGGACTGCATGTTATTGACATATGGGAAGATATATAAACAAGATATCAGTTCCATGGCAAAATGGCGCAAGATGAGTCATTGCGGTGTTAATGATGAGCAGCACAAGACTGGACAGGTTTCAATATGCATGGGGGCCGCATGGCATTGGAAGAGAATCGAAAAAAAAAAAAAAAAAAAAAAAAAAACAACAACAACAACAACAACAACAACATTCGGAGTCGACTCAAAATACAGAGTGGTGAGCAGTGCAAGACCAGCCATGCCTAAATACGTGTGCGCGCTGCATATCCTTGGGAAATTGAAGCAAGGTGCACTATGAGTCAAGTCAAAAGCCCGTCTGATTGGTGATCAGCAGAAGATTATGCATGCCTGAGTATGATGCACTTGGAGCCGACAGCCTTTGAAGCAACACCCCTTGAAGCAACACCCCTTGAAGCAACACCCCTTGAAGCAACACCCCTTGAAGCAACACCCCTTGAAGCAACACCCCTTGAAGCAACACCCCTTGACGCAACACCCCTTGAAGCAACACCCCTCGAAGCAACACCCCTTGAAGCAATACCCCTTGAAGCAACACCCCTTGAAGCAACACCCCTTGAAGCAACACCCTTTGAAGCAACACCCCTTGAAGCAACGCCCCTTGAAGCAACACCCCTTGAAGCAACACCCCTTGAAGCAACACCCCTTGAAGCAACACCCCTTGAAGCAACACCCCTTGAAGCAACACCCCTTGAAGCAACACCCCTTGACGCAACACCCCTTGAAGCAACACCCCTCGAAGCAACACCCCTTGAAGCAATACCCCTTGAAGCAACACCCCTTGAAGCAACACCCCTTGAAGCAACACCCTTTGAAGCAACACCCCTTGAAGCAACACCCCTTGAAGCAACACCCCTTGAAGCAACACCCCTTGAAGCAACACCCCTTGAAGCAACACCCCTTGAATTAACACCCCTTGAAGCAACACCCCTTGAAGCAACACCCCTTGAAGCAACACCCCTTGAAGCAACACCCCTTGACGCAACACCCCTTGAAGCAACACCCCTTGAAGCAACACCCCTTGAAGCAACACCCCTTGAAGCAACACCCCTTGAAGCAACACCCCTTGAAGAAACACCCCTTGAAGCAACACCCTTTGAAGCAACACCCCTTGAAGCAACACCCCTTGAAGCAACACCCCTTGAAGCAACACCCCTTGAAGCAACACCCCTTGAAGCAACACCCCTTGAAGCAACACCCCTTGAAGCAACACCCCTTGAAGCAACACCCCTTGAAGCAACACCCCTTGACGCAACACCCCTTGAAGCAACACCCCTCGAAGCAACACCCCTTGAAGCAATACCCCTTGAAGCAACACCCCTTGAAGCAACACCCTTTGAAGCAACACCCCTTGAAGCAACACCCCTTGAAGCAACACCCCTTGAAGCAACACCCCTTGAAGCAACACCCCTTGAAGCACACACACCCAACCTCCCTCAATTCTCGAACCACCAAACTTCGAGCTCTCCTGTGCCACGATACCATGGGGGCACCGTGAAGCACCGTGGAGCACCGTGGAGCACCGTGAAGCACTGTGGAGCACCCACCCACACAAACGTACCTTCCACCTTCCCCCACCCTACACCTTCCTCCACCCTACACCTTCCCCCACCCTCCTCCTTCCCCCACCCTCCTCCTGCCCCAATCCTTCTCCTTCCCCTCACCTCTAAAAAATAGGCCGACCAGTGGTGACGAGGGAGGTGAGCCCGCCAGTGGCACCGATGGTGAAGAAGAGAAACATGAAGCCCATTATGGGCGGGTGGGCTGCCCGTGCCGCTGTCTCCCCTCACCCTCCTCCTTCCCCCACCCTCCACCTTCCTCCACCCTACACCTTCCCCCACTCTCCTCCTTCCCCCACCCTCCTCCTGCCCCCATCCTTCTCCTCCCCCTCACCTCTCAAAGATGGGTCGGCCGGTGGTGACGAGGGAGGTGAGCCCACCAGTGGCACCGATGGCGAAGAAGAGAAACATGAAGCCCATTATGGGCGGGTGGGCTGCTCTTGCTGCTGCCTTGGCCTCCTGAAGCACGGTGCACGTGAAGCAATGGGAGCATGGGAAGCACAAGGAGGAACGGAGACGAGGGAAAGATGAATGCCTTGATGGGCGGGTGCGCTGCTCTTGCTGCTGCCTTGGCCTCCTGAAGCAAAGCAAGGGGAGCATGGGGAGCATGGAGAGCACAAAGAGAAAGTGAGAGAAACACGGCAAGTCAACTCAGAAGAGAAACATGAATGCCTTGATGGGCGGGTGCGCTGCTCTTGCTGTTGCCTTGGCCTCCTGATTCGATGGACGGGGCGCAGCGCATGGGGTGACTTTTGGCGCAGGTCTCTTAGCAAGGTGCATGGCCCCGTGCGCAGCGCATAGGGTGACTTTTGACTTGGGGCACGGCACACGAGGATGCAGTGGTGGTGGTGGTGGTGGTGGTGGTGGTGGGGTATGAAGAGGAGCTTGACGAGAGTGGGGGTACTGGTGCTGGTGCTACCTACCTGCACTGCTGCTGCCTTGTCGTTCTGATCCGTGGCAAAAGAAGGCATGGGGTTGATTGTGATTCAACCCACAACAAGAACCATGAATAAGCAAGGCTGGGGCGAGTTTATAGTCAACTCGAAAGAACAGTGGGGTTTGGTCCTATCCCCTCAAGAATGGAAGAACTGGAGCTATCCCTTTCCCCGACTAAAAGGTCCTCCTTTTTCCCCTGCCCTCCCTTCCACCCAGCTCACAGGCGAGGAGGCGAGGCGGATCTGCCATCCCAGGTAGGAGCCGTACCCCCCCATGACATTTAAGACGCCTCAAAAGTTCCCACCGTTTTCCCCCTGCACCTCTTTCCCCACCCTGCCACCCCTCCCATCCGGCTCACAGGCGAGGAGGCGAGGCGGATCTGCCATCCCAGGTAGGAGCCGTACCCTCCCATGGCTAAAAGAACCACTGCCTGCACGCCACGTGGCAGCACATGATAGGAGCACATGACATAGGGCAAGAAAGGGTGGAGGAGGAGAAGTGAGAGGGGAGATGCTGGGAAACTTTGGTGCTCAAGCCCATTCAGATTCACAATGACCTCCCCATGTGCACATCACATCTCACCATGTGCACATCACATCTCACCATGTTGCCGGGATGTCCCCAGTGAATGAGCCAGTCAGGAAGATTCCAGGAACGCACCAACTCCCCATACGGCTCCAACAGCTCTCTCAAGGCGTCAGCTGGGCGATTGGGGAGGGGTGAAATGGAGAGGGGGAAAGAAGAGAGGGGGGGAAAAGGGAGGGGGGGAGTGGAGGGGAGGAGGAAAAAGGAAGGGCGAGAGTGGGGGGGTGAGGGGGGAAGGGTGGAAATATAGAAACAGGAAAAGGGGAAATTGGGAGAGAGGCAAAGGAGGAAAGGAGGAAAAAGGGAGAGGAAACGGATGGGGGGAAAGGGAAGGCAAGCAGGAGAGTTGGTGGCTGGGGGACCGAGGGGTTATGAAGTGAGGTTGCCAAGAGGAATGGTGAATAAGAGGAAGTGATGGGGTTGGAGTGAAATGAGGTTCGCTTTGCATGAAATGAGGGAGAAATTTCCTGTAAAATCTCATGGGTGCACAGAATCAGGGAAGGAGTGGAAGAGAAGAGAGAACAGAAAACTTCTGCACATCCCCTCCATCCCCCTCACTGTACCAGCATTGCCTCCCCTTCTACCATCTCCATCCGTTCCCTCTGCTCACTCGATGCATCGCCTTTCTCGCTTCCTTCCTTGCTTACTTCCCTTCCCGTTCTCACTCTACGACTCACCTTCCTTCCCCACTTACTTCCCTTCCCGTTCTCACTCTACGACTCACCTTCCTTCCTCGCTTACTTCCCTTCCCGTTCTCACTCTACGACTCACCTTCCTTCCTCGCTTACTTCCCTTCCCGTTCTCACTCTACGACTCACCTTCCTTCCTCGCTTACTTCCCTTCCCGTTCTCACTCTACGACTCACCTTCCTTCCTTGCCTACTTCCCGTTCTCTCTCTATGACTCACCTTCCTTCCTGGCTTACCAGCCGCAAGCCCCCCATTTACCCCATTCCCCTCCTCCCACCCTCCCCCCCTCCCCCCCCTCCCCCTCTCCCCCTCTTCCCCCCTCCCCACTCCCGCCCTCCCGCGCTCCCCCTCTCGCCTCTCCCTTTTTCCACCCCTCCCCCCCTTTCCCCCTTCCCCCCTTCCCCTTTTTCCCCTTTAGCCTACCAGCGGCAAGGGCAGCGACGGGCATGGGCGCAACGGACATGAGGCGGAGCTCATTCCGCGACTCCTTCTCCCCCGCTGCGCCGCGCTGCTCTGTCTCCCCCGCCCGCCTTCCTTGCTCCGCGCGCAAGCAGAGGCCTGGCGCAAGGCGGAAGGGGAGGCGTTCGATAGGAGAGGGCAGAATGGCGGGAGGGCGGAACGGCGGAAGGGCGGAAGGAGAGGCGAACGACAATCGGGGCGGGAAAAGGAGCAAAATAGTGCAATAGCGAGGATGCGCGTTGCACACTATAATTTAATCTACATTCTGAAAATGCTACCTCGCCGTCTACTGCAGATTAGCAATGAAGGGCGCTCTAGCGAAGAGGCGCGTTGTAAATGATACCACGACTTATTAGGCGTCTTAAAAGGCGTTTCAACGAAGAGGTAAGTTGCAAAGGATACCTCGCCGCGTGGTGCGTCTCATCGTTCCCGCGGCCATTCCCAGCGAGACATGGCGAGTCGACAAGGGGGCTTGCGCGAGGGGAAAGGCGTCTACAGAGCACGCGAGTGGGGACGAGCGGAGGAGCGCAGCCGATGCCATCGCGGAAAAATGCGGAGTGCGCAATGCGCAACGTGGTGTTCGGAATGCGCAACGCGGAGTTCGGATTGCGCAACGCGGAGAGCGGGGAGTGCGGGGTTAGATGTTCTAAGCGTGAAATACGTGGATTAGGCAGGGTGTGGTGCGCACGCGGAAAATGCTGCAAGGGAAAACAAGGGCGGTGTGATGACAGCGCGGGAGGAGTGTGGGATGGATGGGCGATGGAATCCCGAGGTGGATGAGGGGCGTATACTGCTCTGTTCGGAAATATGAAGTGGCGTTTAGTGCGTGTGAAGGTAAGGTAGGTGGCTGCTTTCTGCTGAAGGCACTTCAAATCCGCAACACTGACGATGTACACCCGATTTGAGAACGTCACTTCACTTTAGCGAATAAGTCCTCAGAGCAGTAGTGGTTCGATTAATGCTTTGAATAATGCGTTGGCGCACGCGACAAGCTGTGTACCACGCCTTCTTTCTTAAATATAAAAATCTGTAATGCTGATGCATTTCATGGACCATAGCTGTTGGACAGGATCACCATTATCCAGTACAATCCCTTATCACAACCTTTACCATAAGCTCAGATTCACCCAAGCTGTTCTGCTGCAACGTTATTGTCTCATGACAGCAATTTCTGCATTATACCATCTATTTGAGCTCCTGGAACGAAATTAAGACCCTGGCTCTATTTTTTTTCACCTCAACGACCTGTGCCACGAACTTGGTGGGAGGAAAACCTTTCCCAGGCTTGTCGGCTACCAGAAGTATCTTCCACGTGGTAGATCCGGTTTTGCTGTTAAACGTTTGAGATGCTGAAGACACAAACACCAACTGAAGGCTTGTCGCCTGAAATTCCCATAGCAGAGGGAGAGAGGGAGAGATGGAGAGATGGAGAGAGGGAGAGAGGGAGAGAGGGAGAGAGGGAGGAGGACAAGAGGGAAAAGAGTGAGAGGGAGAGGAGGGCAAGAGGGAGAAGAGCGAGAGGATGTGAGTGTCTGAGTGTGATGCTCCACCTGCACCAAAACGTCTGGGTGTGTGCGCTTGCGTGCGTCAGTGGGAGGATGCGGGAGGTGCATGTGTTGAATGCAATCAGTTTCGATGTTGAAGAGAAGGTACAGAATGTGTACGGTGGTTTCTGAAAAAAAAAAAAGGCAGAATTCCTCTCTGGGATGTGGGAGTACCTGTGGCTGTTGTTGCCTGTCACGACAAATCTCTCCAATTTCTTCTACCATCGAAGTTTCAACAGATAAAGTAAGTCAGGTGTAACATACCTTTTGCTTGTTATTCTCAGCCACCGCAAACTTTGCCAAATTCTGAACTTCAGCTCCATTCGCTGCGACTTCCACAGCCGGCAAGCCGTCATCGGCCGCGAGCGCGGGCGGCACGCAGATGAGAAGAGAAGAGTTGCACGAGCCATGGCAGACAAAGCTTCTGGTAACTGCTAGCCACGGATCAAGAAACGGACTGAGATCGGAACGGAATGAAGCAAAGAAAGGTAAAGCTGCAGAGGTTACTTGGTGTGTGATTGACGTCACCTTTTGTACGTCGTCGTTTTTGCTTGTGGCATCATGATCGAACGAACTGCGGTTGAAAACATCACCGCACGAGGAGGCTAACAATAATTTCTTGGACTCGGCTTGAGCAGGCAAGCAACATCGCTGCCGAAACGACGTTCTTTCCGCCGAAATTATTGGAAGGGGGGTTTGATGTTGCTCATCTTACGCGAGCGCCAATACGCGGCGAAGATTTTCCTGGTGAAGGGGGAAAAGGGTTTCCCGCGAAGGAGGTGATCATCACCCCCGATGATGGTTACCCCCGCAATCACTTTCATCCGCCCCACCTTGTCTCCTCCCTTTCCCCTTCCTTCCCCCCTCCGCGTTGTGTCCCCTCCGCTGTCCCCTGCTCCAGCGCCGTCCCAGCAAGGCTGAGAGCGGGATAGCCATTTATGCATTTACTGGGCGGCAAGATGACAATCAAGTGTAAGCTGCGGTTCCAAAATGATCATTTGCGAGGCTGAGCACACAAGGAAGGGTGGAGGAGGAGGGATGCGAGCGGGGATGTGAGCGGGGATGCGAGCAGGAATGCGAGCGGGGATGCGAGCGGGGATGCGGGGAAAGATGTGATGCTAAAGCCAAATCAGAGTCACAGTGACCTCTTTATGTGCACATCTCACCACATGCATGCATCTAACCACGTGCACATCACATCTCACCATGTGCACATCACATCTCACCATGTGCACACCACGTCTCACCATGTGCACATCACATCACACCATGTGCACACCACGTCTCACGATCCCTCCATGTTGCCAGGGTGTCCACAGAGGAATGCACCAACTCCCCATGTGCATGCATCAAAAGTCAAATCACCAACTCCCCATATGCCTGCATAGCTCACCAACTCCCCATGTGCATGCATCTCCCCACGTGCATGCATCTCCCCACGTGCATGCATCTCCCCATGTGCATGCATCTCACCACGTGCATGCATCTCACCACGTGCATGCATCTCACCACGTGCATGCATCTCGCCATGTGCTCATCACATCTCATAATCTCACCATGTTGCCAGGGTGTCCCCAGTGGATCTCACCAACCCAGGGGGTCGAACGCACCACCCCTCTGGGTTCCCCATACGGCTGCAACAGCTCCCTCAGAGCATCAGCTGGGCGATTGGTTTTTTAGTGGACCCAAAAGTCAAAACACCAACTCCCCATACGGCTGCAACAGCTCCCTCAGCGCATAAGCTGGGCGATTGGCGGGTGGGGGGAAGGAGGAAAGGGGGGAGGCGGTAAAAAGGACGGGGAGAGTGGGGGGGAGGGGAAGCAGGGAGGCGGAAAGAAGGGAGGGGGAGAGTGGGGGGGAGGGGAAGCAGGGAGGCGGAAAAAAGGGAGGGGGAGAGTGGGGAGAAGGGGAAGCAGGGAGGCGGAAAGAAGGGAGGGGGAGAGTGGGAGGGGGGGAAGCAGGGAGGCGGAAAGAAGGGAGGGGGAGAGTGGGGGGGTTTGAGGTTTCAACGGCTCTCTCAAGGCATCGACTGGGCGATTGGCGGGTGGGAGAGTGGGGGAGAGGGGAAATTTGGAAGTGAAAAGAAGGGGAGGGGGGCGAGGAGCGAAAGGGGGGGACGAGAAGGAAAAAGGGGTGAGGAAAGGTGGAAACAGGAAAACAGGAAAAGGGGAGAGAATCAAAGGAGGAAAGGGATGGGGGGAAAGGGAAGGCAAGCAGGTGGGAGTGGGCAGGAGAGTTGGGAGCTGGGGGGATGGTCGGGAAGGGATAGAGGTGGCCAAGGGGAGCGGCGGATGAGTGAGTGAGTGAGTGAGGAACGATTGCTCAGCCGTGTATCTTCATGAATGAGGATGATTAGCGGAGAATCAGAGGAGAGAACAAGTGGAAGTGATGAGGCTGGCAGGACGACGAACTGAAGATCGCTTTGCATTGAATGGGGGCAAGAGTGGGAGCTTTTTACCCGGAATTGTACAAGTCTAAAATTGAAGTGGGTGTGCGCGGAAGCAGGAGGAGAGTTGAAGAGACGAGGAAAGAGAATCACTTTGCACATCCCCTCCCGTCATCTCCCCTCGCTATACCACCATTGCTCCCCTTCTACCCTCTCCTTCCGCGCTTACTGCTCACTCTATGCTCGCTAATGCTATCTTCCTTGCTCACCACCAGCAGCACCACCACGAGCCTACCAGCAGCAAGCCCCCCCACTTCCCCTTTCCCCCTACCAGCAGCAAGCCCCTCCCCTCCCCCTTTCCCCCTACCCGCAGCAAGCCCCTCCCCTCCCCCTTTCCCGCTACCAGCAGCAACCCCCCCCCTTCCACCTACCAGCACGCGCCTACCAGCGGCAAGGGCGGCGACGGGCATGGGCGCAACGGACATGGGGCGGAGCTCATTCCGCGACTCCTCCTCCCCCGCTGCGCTGCGCTGCTCTGTCTCCCCCGCCCGCCTTCCTTGCTCCGCGCGCACGCGCAGGTCTGGGGGCAAGGCGGGAGGGGAAGGCGTCAGATAGGAGTGGGCAGAAGGGCGGGAGGGAGGAAGGGCAGAACGACGGAACGGCGGAAGGGCGGAAGGAGAGGCGAACGACAATCGGGGCGGGAAAAGGAGCAAAAGACTGCAATTCGTGAGAATTACAAACCATTGTCGAATCTACATCTTCAAAATTCTACCTCGCCGAATCTGCAAACTATCAAAGAAGGGTGTTCTAACGATGGGTGCATTGCAGTTGATACCTCGCCGAGTGTTGCGTCTCGTCGTTCCCGCGGCCACCCCCAGCGAGACATGGCGAGTCGACGCGGGGGCTTGCGTGAGGGGAAAGACGTTTACAGGGCAGGCCGTGAGGGAGGACGAGCGGAGGAGGGCGGCGGATGCCATCGCGGGGAAATGCGGAGTGCGCAATGCGCAACGCGGAGCGCCTGAAGTGTGGGGTCAGATGTGCGAAGCGAGGAAAATGCGAGGTGGGCACGAGGAGAGAAATACGTGGATAAGGCAGGCTGCGGTGCGCATGGAAGGAAAACAGGCGCGGCGTGGCAAATGCGGGGGAGTATGGGATGGGTGAGAGAATCCTGAGGGATACTAACAATGAGAAGCGTAATTGGCGTTTAGTGCGAGTGTCAAATGCGAAGAAGTGATGACATACAGAAACCAATTTCAGAACGTTAAAACCCAAAACCTCAATTACTCAACAATAACGGATCACGCCCTCAGAGGAAGAAAACAATTCAGTGGTTTGAATGATGCGCTAATGATACATAAGCGCATGACAGGGTGTACTGCACAATACTTTCTTCAATCTATAAATGTGTAATGCTGATGCATTTCAAAGGGAATTCATGGTCCATAGCAGGGCTAAATTTTTGTTTTTAGCAACCCTTACGATCAGTGTTGCACATGTTCAAAACCCTGATTATCAGTGTGACCCCTTGTGAAAAAACCTTTTCCATCAGGATTTCTGCTTGTTTTGAAAATTCTACCCTGGGGCATCAGTGTACAATTATTTGAAGCCCTGATGAAATTGTTATTAACAGAGCACACAATAACAATCTTAGTCATCATCATCAGACATGCCAAACGGCTGTTGCTCGTGGTCACTTTCTTCTTCTGGCTCCGGCACTTTCTCTTTCCCCTTTCTTTCCACTGCGGTCGCCTGCGCAACTGATTTCGCCGGTCGTCTGGTTTTCTGCTTGCGCCAGATGTCCACCACATCTGGCCACACGTACGGGTACTTGAGCAAGTGCAGCGTCATGAGGTCGCCAAGGCGTGCATCGCACAGCGATGTGCGCATCCAGCTTTTGATGATGTTCTGACGGCTGAAACCTCTCTCACACTCAACTGTGCTCAGTGGCAGCACAGCTACAGTGTCATCAGGTTCGGATAGCTACGTCGCCAGTCTCTGCTCTTCAGCATGCTATGAAGTCCTTGGTGGAAATCTTCCCCCACGTGATGACGTGCCAAGATGTGACAGAAGCTCCTGAGCTCCTTCTTCGCCGCCTTGAAGTTAAATCTTGACGTGGACGAGGATTTATAGGGTGGATGTACGGGTGTGTGGTTATGAGTGGTTTGTATCTTACGACGACATGCACAGGGGAATCCGATCCGACGTGATGGCATGTACAAAATCCAATCTCACTAGGGAGCATGCCGCCAAATAGCTCGTCGTTTTGGGCCAGCCTAACCAGGCACTTGATCTCCCTCTGGTCCTCCCTGGACGGCCACGATCCCACTTGGAACAGCTTCGCGCCGCCCATCTGCTGCAAGTCCCACATGCGGAACTTCATCATGGCCACGATCTCCTTCGCGAACCCCGTGCACAACTTCACACAGTCACGAACGTGCCCCCAAACTTGTGCTTCTTGATTGGATTCTCGCTGAGTTCGAATCGATGTGATGTCGGCCGCCCGTCGTCGTCAATCCCTTCAACCACAAGCGTCCGATTTTCCCCGCCGTGGTCCTTGATGAATCTCGACAGTTGGTTGCTGACCCGGCCTCCAAATGTCTCCCCGTACTCGATGTACCGGTGCGTGATGATGGTGATCGTGCGGTCCACATCCTTCGCCACTTGGGTGATGTCGACCTGGGAAACATAAAAACCACAAACAGTTAAGTTCAGTAAATTCAGAGGTACATGCGACTCAACCAAAAATATGAGTTCACTTGCCTTGCGGTGCTGGAAAAATTGGTTCAGGGCGTTTAGCTCTGCAAGAATGTCAGCAAGGAAGTACAAACAAAAGTGAAACTTAAAAGTCTACACTGTTGCTGCAATCTTGTGGCCATACTCCACAATCATGACTATCGCTGCCCCGAAAACTCTGCACAGCCGTGCGATTGCGTCTCCCCGCGACAGCCAGCGGACATTGAACAGTCCTTGATGCTCCAGGTTGGTTTTGTGCATCTTGAACCAGATGTTCGAGCGACATATTATTTCCCCAATTGCACGCACACCCTCATCGATCATGTTCAAGCCGGGGAAGGCCTTAGCAGCAACCTTGAACATGAGCGCCTCTCTGTAGCAGATAGGTAAACGATGGGAAACAAATTAATACAACGGTACAACGAGCAGAAACACGGGACCAATCCACGGTACCATCGACATTACCGATGTGCAACGCAATGACACCCGACAAGATGAGGAACGCGTTCACAAAGGCGGGAAACAAGGCCGCCCTTATCGCCCGTCATGACGGAAACCCCGTCAGTGCCGACGCCGGACACGCAGTTGATGTCGACACCGACAGAATCCAAGTGGCTCATGAGCACGGTAAAGAGCGATGAAGCGTCGCACTTTTGCACCATGAGAAGCGCCAAGAATTATGTAACGGCGACGCCATTCTTGAGGAAAGTGGCAAACACTATCAAGTGTTTGCCACGCGCGCCGTCGGTGCTCTCATCACATGTGAGGCCGATGAACGGTGAAGCAAGTAGATGCTGCAGCTGCTGCGATTGCTGGTACTTTGCCATAGCCCCTGCCATCTCGTTGAAGCCATACCTGCCACACGAAGCGAGCTGGTGTCATGCATGTATGTTCGCCATAGTAAAATAATTTCGTTCATATCAATTTAAACAAAAGCAACGGTAGACTTACTGCGTAATGGAAACCCCGTAAGACTGCAGTGGGACGTCTGCAACACCTTCTTCGGCCAAGAAACCCACGAGCTTCGGGAACATGGCGATTGGAGCGACGTGGTCGTAGATGAACTCCACGCTCCGCATGAGGCGAGTGAGCCGCGCACCCTCCTTGTCGGCGTTGGCGAAATCGTCTATCCGCTTCTGCTTCTCAATCTCCGCCATGAGGGTCTGCTGCCTCTTCATAGCGTCGTCGTGGCGGACGCTCAGCTCGTGACATCGCATTGAGCCGAGCTACAGATCACGTCCCCCAGTTCCGTTCCGACCAAAATTAGCGTCATCTTTCCCGTGCTCCACACATATGCTACATCGCAAGATCGGCAACCCTTCCTCGTTTTTATCAAGCAGCAGCCACTCAAACTTCGGTAGCCACTACGGGTGAGTTCACGAGACACAAGCGAGGGAGCTTGGACGGGGGCCGGAGGTGGAGTCGGATTCGCAGGGGGCGTGCCGAACGGGAGATATGCTTGCGCAAATCGCCGTTTCTTCTTAGAGGCAGCAGACGAAGACTCGTCGACCTCTGTTGGGATGACTGTGGCGGGAGCACTGTCGAGCTCAACGGCAGAGGAAACAGCTGGACGAGAAGGAAGTGATTTTTCACCGCGGTACGACGACGGGCCTGCAGTGCAAACAGGCGGAGGGTTCTGATGCAGCCCTCGGAGAAAATCAAGGCCTGTCCGCGATGGGGCGTCATTAGGTGGTTCGCCAGCAGCTTCTCCTCCACCATCGTCCAGTGTAGGCGCCATGGCTGCGGGTGTGTATCTGGCAAAACGGCAGGCTCTGTTGGAAAGCGCGATTGAGAGAGAGGTCTCTCGTGACCAAGCCGAGACCACTCCACAACTGAGCTGGTGCCCCCAATCCCAATCGCACTCGTTTCCTATCGTGCTGGCAAACAAAGCAGTTGAGCCACCCACAGTTGTGCAAAGAATGTGGTGCCCACTGGGCTAGAGGTCAACCGGTCAACTTGGCATGTCAGACAACATGACCAAGTTGATACATTGGCACTGTCTACAAGAAACTGTATTTCTGACCAATGGTGGCCCACTTCGTGCCAGCACATGTAATGTCGTGGCAAATTTTTCAATTTCGACAGTTGGCATTTGGGAATCCCGGGTTACGGGGTAGGGGGGTTAGGGGAGGGGGGGGGGGGGGGGGGATGGGGGGGTTGGCGGGGGAAGGGTGGTACTCGCTTCAGGGTAAAACTCGCTAAGAGGAACGGCAACCCTGAGGCATCAGTGTGCCTTAATCGTAAACCCTGGCATATCAAGAAAAATCTAGCTCCCAAAAAAATTACCCTAAGGCATCAGTGTGACTACCAAAAACCACCCTGATAATCAGGGTATCAGGGTGATTTACACTGATAAAATAAGGCCTGGACATAGCAGTTGTACAGGATCACTATACACTACCACCCCTATCATTGTCCACAACCTTCACCATAAGCTCAGATGCACCTGAGCTGTTTCCTATGCTTTATTTCATGCCAACACTTTCCGCATTATTAAATTCATTTACTACGCTCCTCGAACGAAATCAAGATCCTTTTCACTTCAACAAAAATCGCCAGGAACTTAGTGGGAGGAAAGCCTTTGCCTGGCTTGTAGGCTATCAGACGAATCTTCCACCTAGTAGCTCCGGTTTTACTGTTAACCGATTGAGATGCTGAGACATTGACACTAAATGGAGGTTTGTTGCCTGAAGTTCACATAGCATAGGGAGAGGGACCGAGGGAGAAAGGTGGAGAGGGATAGGGGGAGAGAGGGAGAGGAGGGCGAGATGGAGAGAGGGAGAGAGGGAGTGGAGTGAGGAACGATGTGACTGTTTGAGTGTGATGCTCGACCTGCGTCAGAACGTCAATGGGTGTGTGGGCTTGAGTGCGTGCGTGGAAGGATGCGTCAGGTCCATGTGTCATCAATTTTGACGCGCAAGATAAGGTACATAACGTGTACTGCAATATTTTGTGCCGTTGATTCTGTAAAATATATATATATACATATATATATACAGAATTCAAAAGCACCATCGAAGTTTCAACAGATAAACAAAGTCAGGTGTAACATACCTTTTGCTTGTTATTCTCAGCCACAAGAAACTTCGCCAGGTTATGAACTTCAGCCCCGTTGGCTGCAACTTCCATCTTAGGCAAGCCGTCATCAACCACGAGCGCGCACGGCATGCAGATGAGCGAAGAGATGACGACGATGACGATTGTAACTTTCACGAAGAGAAGGGTTGCACGAGCCATGGTGGACAAAGCTTCTGGTTACTACCAGCTACGGATCAAGAAACAAACTGAGATCTGAAAAGAATGAAGCAAAGAAATGTAAATACGCAGAGATTACTTGGTATGCGATTGACGTCGCCTCTTGTACGTGTTTTTTTTGCCCGTGACATCGTAATCGAACGAACGGCGGTTGAAAACATCGCTGCACAAGGAGGCTAACAATAATTTCCTAGACTGGACTAGAGCAGGCAAGCAACGTCGCTGCCGAAACGAAGTTCTTTCCGACGAAATTATTAGGAGGTTTTGTTGCTCATCCTACGCAAGCGTCAATATGCAGCAAAGCCTTTCCTGGTGAAGGGGGAAAGGGGTTTCTCGCGAAGGAGGTGATGGTTGCCCCTGCTGTCACTTTCATCCACCCACCTTGTCTCCCCCCTTTCCTCTTCCTTCCCCTCTCCGCGTTGTGTCCCCTCCGCTGTCCCCTACTCCAGCGCCGTCCCCGCAAGGCTGAGATCGGCATACCCATTTATGTATTTAGTGAGCGGCAAGATGACAATGAAACGTAAGCTGCGGTTCCATACCGATCATTCTCGGGACCCTGCGACACGAATATAGTCGCGAGCGACTATCGCGACTATCGCGACAGGCATCATGCTCGCAGGTATACTTACGAAAGGCATTTTGTTGACATGTCTTGCCCCAGGTGCTTCCTGATTTCAAGGTGATACTCTTAGAATCTAAGGAAAGGAATGATCAATTAGGTGAGGGATGGGGGTACAATCCTAAGTGTCGAGGTGATTTGTGTACCCACTAAGGCTAGCCCCTATATAGCCTAGATAACAATAAAAACATATGTTTTGACACACCCCCTTAGGCGAAGTGGGGGATAGCAAGAGCAAACAATGGTCACAAGATCACCACGCAGTCCGAGCACAAGCAAGCGGCCACAAGGCCAGTTCACATGCAGGTTTATAATGATCAACACCGAGCAAGTGCAAATAACCTAGCAAGTATAGATATATAACAGAGTACATCAAGGACAGAACAAGATCAAGAGACAAGCAGGTGAGGTAGAGTCGGCACAAGCCCACAAGCAGTACAGAAACACTGATGATAACCAGACCCTAGGGCCTTGGTGAAGACATCAGCAATGTTGGCCTGTGAGGCCACGTAAGCAAGGCGTAGCTGCCCACGCTGCTGCAGCTCTCGTGCGAGAAAGTAACGAAGAGCAAAGTGCTTCGTTCTATGCTCCAGCCTGTTGAAATAGTAGCTATAGTGAGTGTAGGAACCATGCTAGGGTTCAATGTCGAGAGAGTTTGAGAAGGAATGATGTGGATTAGGGCAAGGATGGGGATACAATGAAGTGTCGAGCAATTTATTGTACCCCCTAAGGCTAAACCCACTACAGCCTAGATAGCAGTAAACTTATAATTTGACACACCCCCATAGGCGAAGTGGGGGATAGCAAACACAACAAAGCGGTCACAAGACCAGTCAGGAGAAGAAACAAAAGATATACAGGTGCGAACACAAGCAGGGCAAGGCTACGGCAGACGAGCAAAAAAGTCAACAAACCACCGCCTCACCCTCCCCCCACAGTGGCACGCGTGGCCGTGAGAGAGAGAGAGGAGGAGGGGCGCCAGTTGGCTCCTCATTCCTGCCACCCCCATACCCACCAAGAGCCCGCCACCCCCATAACCCACCCCCTTCACATATTCCGCCCCCACACCCCTCCCTTCCCCCCAACTGCTGCACGCGCAGCAGGAAGAGGGAGGAGAAAGGAGGGGGGGGGGGGGGGGGGGGGGGGCTGGTGCTGCAGATCCCCTCCCCCCAGGGATGGAGGAGAAAAGGGGGGGGGGGGGGCGGGGGGGGGGGGCTGGTGCTGCAGATCCCCTCCTGCCACCCCCTTAACCTCCAAGCTCCCCCCCCCCCCCCTCCCAACACAAGGTGTGGCAGGGAGAGAGAGAGGAGAAGGGGGGGCGGGGGGGGGGCTGTGCATGGCGCGTGCAGAGGGCAGCAGGGCGCACGGGGCGCACAGGGCAGCAGGGCGCACAGGGCAGCAGGGCAGCAGGGCGCGCGGGGCGCACAGGGCTGCAGGGCGCGCGGGGCGCACAGGGCAGCAGGGCGCACAGGGCTGGAGGGCAGCAGGGCGCGCGGGGCGAACAGGGCAGCAGGGCGCACAGGGCTGCAGGGCAGCTGAGCGCACAGGGCTGCAGGGCAGCCGGGCGCGCGGGGCGCGCAGGGCTGCAGGGCGCGCAGGGCAGCAGGACAGCAGGGCGCGCGGGGCGCGCAGGGCTGCAGGGCGCGTGGGGCGCACAGGGCAGCAGGGCAGCAGGGCGCGCGTGGCGCGCAGGGCTGCAGGGCGCGCGGGGCACACAGGGCAGCAGGGCGCACAGGGCTGCAGGGCAGCAGGGCGCGCAGGGCTGCAGGGCGAGCAGGGCACGCAGGGCAGCAGGACAGCAGGGCGCGCTGGGCGCGCAGGGCTGCAGGGCGCGCGGGGCGCACAGGGCAGCAGGGCAGCAGGGCGCGCGGGGCGCAGCAGGGCTGCAGGGCGCGCAGGGCTGCAGGGCAGCAGGGTGCGCGGGGCGCACAGGGCTGCAGGGCGCGCGGGGCGCACAGGGCAGCAGGGCGCACAGGGCTGCAGGGCAGCAGGGCGCACAGGGCTGCAGGGCAGCAGGGCGCGCAGGGCTGCAGGGCGCGCGGGGCGCACAGGGCAGCAGGGCGCACAGGGCTGCAGGGCAGCAGGGCACACAGGGCTGCAGGGCAGCAGGGCGCGCGGGGCGCAGCACGGGCTGTAGCGGCAACAGCAAGGGCTGTAGCGGCCGCAGCAAGGGCTGTAGCGGCAGCAGCAGGGGCTGTAGCGGCAGCAGCAAGGGCTGTAGCGGCAGCAGCAAGGGCTGTAGCGGCAGCAGCAAGGGCTGTAGCGGCAGCAGCAAGGGCTGTAGCGGCAGCAGCAGGGGCTGTAGCGACAGCAGCAAGGACTGTAGCGGCAGCAGCAAGGGCTGTAGCGGCCGCAGCAAGGACTGTAGCGGCAGCAGCAAGGGCTGTAGCGGCAGCAGCAGGGGCTGTAGCGGCAGCAGCAAGGGCTGTAGCGGCAGCAGCAAGGGCTGTAGCGGCAGCAGCAGGGGCTGTAGCGGCAGCAGCAAGGGCTGTAGCGGTAGCAGCAAGGGCTGTAGCGGCAGCAGCAAGGGCTGTAGCGGCAGCAGCAAGGGCTGTAGCGGCAGCAGCAAGGGCTGTAGCGGCAACAGCAAGGGCTGTAGCGGCCGCAGCAAGGGCTGTAGCGGCAGCAGCAAGGGCTGTAGCGGCAGCAGCAAGGGCTGTAGCGGCAGCAGCAAGGGCTGTAGCGGCAGCAGCAAGGGCTGTAGCGGCAACAGCAAGGGCTGTAGCGGCAGCAGCAAGGGCTGTAGCGGCAACAGCAAGGGCTGTAGCGGCAGCAGCAAGGGCTGTAGCGGCAACAGCAAGGGCGCGCGGGGCAAATAGGGCAGCAGGGCGCACAGGGCTGCAGGGCAGCAGGGCGCGCGGGGCGCGCAGGGCTGCAGGGCGCGCATGGCAGCAGGACAGCAGGGCGCGCGGGGCGCGCAGGGCTGCAGGGCGCGCGGGGCGCACAGGGCAGCAGGGCAGCATGGCGCGCGGGGCGCAGCAGGGCTGCAGGGCAGCAGGGCGCGCGGGGCGCAGCAGGGCTGCAGGGCGCACAGGGCTGCAGGGCCGCAGGGCGCGCGGGGCGAACAGGGAAGCAGGGCGCACAGGGCTGCAGGGCAGCAGGGCGCACAGGGCTGCAGATCCCCTCCCCCCCACTGCTGCACCCGCAGCAGGGGGATGGAGGAGAAGGGGGGGGCGGGGGGGGCTGGTGCTGCAGATCCCCTCCCCCCCACTGCTGCTCCACTATCCGACACCCCCCAGGGATGAAGGAGAAGGTGGGGGACGGGGGGGGGGTTGGTGCTGCAGATCCCCTCCCCCTCACTGCTGCACCCGCAGCAGGGGGATGGAGGAGAAGGGGGGGGCAGGGGGGGCTGGTGCTGCAGATCCCCTCCCCCCCACTGCTGCTCCACAATCCTTCACCCCCCAGGGATGGAGGAGAAAGGGGGGGCGGGGGGGGCTGGTGCTGCAGATCCCCTCCTGCCTCCCCCTGAACCTCCAAGCTCCCCCCCCCCTCCCAACACAAGGTGCGGCAGGGAGAGAGAGAGGAGGAGGCGTGGCGGCAGCTGCTGCTGCTGAGGCACATCCGCCACCCCCTCACACCCTCTCCCCCCCGTCCCCATGGAGGGGGGGGAGGGGGGGGAGGGGGGGGAGGGGGGCGGGGGCGGAGCTGCGCGTGCGACTGCAGGGCGCGCGGGCAGGAAGAAATTGTCACCCCTCTTGCCACCCCCTTACCCTCCATGATGCGACGGGGCACCGGGGCCGCGGCTAGGGGCGACAGGTCGCGAGGGGCCGCAGCTGGGGGCGACGGGGCCTAGGGGTCGCGGCTAGGGGTGACGGGGCCAAGGGGCCGAGGCGACGGGGCGTCGGGCCTAGGGTCGCGAGGGGCCGAGACGACGGGGCCTAGGGGCCGCGGCTAGGGGCGACTGGGCCAAGGGGCCGAGGGGCTCCAGCTAGGGGCGACGGGGCCAAGGGGCCGAGGCGACGGGGCCCAGGGGCCGCGGCTAGGGGCGATGGGGCCAAGGGGCCGAGGGGCTCCAGCTAGGGGCGACGGGGCCAAGGGGCCGAGCCTAGGGGCTAGGGGCGACGCCAAGGGGCGACGGGCCGAGGCCTAGGCTAGCAGGGCAGTAGGTGGTGGGCCCAAAAAGGTCGAAACTGCTCTGATACCATGTTGAAATAGTAGCTATAGTGAGTGTAGGAACCATGCTAGGGTTCAATGTCGAGAGAGTTTGAGAAGGAATGATGTGGATTAGGGCAAGGAGGGGGATACAATGAAGTGTCGAGCAATTTACTGTACCCCCTAAGGCTAAACCCACTACAGCATAGATAGCAGTAAACTTATAATTTGACACAGCCTCTGCTCCCGACACAAAGCAATCATGGCCTTATTGTCGAGGTACAGAACTGGAGGAGAACGAGGCCGCTCGCCCAAGTCAGTCAGCAAGTAGGTCAGCCAGTGTAACTCTTGTGCAGCCATAGCCCCAGCGTAGATCTCTAAGTCACAGCTGGAACTAAGCACAAAAGACAAGCAGGTGGACCTCCAGGAGACAGAACCAGCGCCAAGACTGAAAGTGTAACCCTATGACGGCCGCTGGGTCGCCTGGTCGTCAGCCCAAGACGTGTCAGAGTGCCCGGTGAGCACAACTCGACCCCGTCCTCCAAGCACAAGCCCCATGCCTAATGTATTGCACAAGCAATGCAGTAGTACCCTCTGAGCAGCTGTCCAGTGGTCCTTCCGGTGCCTCCCGGGCGCAACGAAGCGCGCCAGGATGCTGAGAGGGTACGCGAGGTCAGGTCATGTGCTCGTCATCAGGTACATGAGGCAGCCCACAAGCTTTGGATACGGGCCACTCGGCTCTACGGACTCGTCCGAAGGTGGAGCTGAGAGCGAGTGGCCTGTAGGCAGAGGAGTGGGCTGTGGCGAGGAGAACCGAAAGCTGAAGCGCTGAAGGACCTGCAGCACCATGTGTGACTGAGTCAGAGTGATGGTGCGCCTTGCTCTGTCCCAGGTGATCTGCAAGCCAAGATAGCTGCGTAGTTCATCCAGGTCAGTGCAAGTGTGTCTCTTCTACAGCCCCACCTTCACAAGGGCCAGTGCCTCAGTGTCAGCAGTAGCAAAAACCAAGTCGTCGACGTACACGAGGATGTAGAACGGCGGTAGAGAAGTGTCGGTGCGTAGAAACAACGACGGGTCAGCAGTCGAAGGATCAAACCCAAGAGCCGCAAGTGTAGTCCTTAGTGTGTCGTGCCACTCCCGGGGCGCCTGGCGGAAACCGTAGACTGGCCGCCTGAGGCTCCAATGGATACCCTCAGGAAACGACGCAATGAAGCCAGGTGGGCGGCGCAGCCAGATCTCCTCGTGAAGGCTACCCTGCAGGAAGGCTGTGGAGTAGTCAAGCGAGTGGAGCTCGTAGTCACGCTGCGCTGCAACGTGTAGTAAGACCCAAATAGTAGTCATATTCAGGGTGGGAGAGAAGGTATGGAAGAAATCGACCCCCTGTCGCTGACTCTCGTGCAACATAACCGCCTTGAAGGCAGGCAGAGAACCCGGCGGCCGCTTCACCTTGAAAATCCACATGCCAGCGACTATGTTTGCCCCGGGGAACCTCGTCGACGTAGGTGCCTGTGGACTTCCAGGATGCCATCTCTACGTCCATGGCTGTCAGCCACTGAGAGGAGTACTGACCTGAAATCGCATCTGCGTAAGAGCGCGGGGTAGGGATGTCAAGTGCATCCGAGTCTCCCTCAGGGCAAAGCAGCATGGCAGCAAGATGAGGTACAATAGCGGCTAGGCACTCCATCTCAACCTGCCTGTCCTCAAGGACATCACTGCCAAGGGCAAGCTCACCCCCGACAGACGGAGGACAGTCAGACTCATAATCATTAACAAGACTCGCGATGTAGTCGAGACGACAGGTAGCAACAAAGTCTACGAGCTCAGTGACTAAGGCAGACGCAGTAGTAGACTCAAAGGAAGGGTCAGTGATAAGAGTGGCAAGGAAACGAGTGACAGTAGGACTAGCAGCACGAGCAAGGTCGGACTCAGGGTCAGGAACGTCAGGAAGAGAGGACGCCAGAGGAGACAGCAGAGCAACACGCTGTGGAACAGAAGAAGGACGAAGTGCCATTGTGTGTGTGCCGGGGACAGGTGGAGGACGAGGACGAGGAACACGACGGACAGTGCGAACACGGGAGGCAGGACGAGACTCAAGCTCACGACGACCTGTCAGGGAGTCTGTCTGCATAGGGTAAGGAGAAGAAGCAGGCATTGGGGAGCCAGGCAGTAACGGCGGCTGTGACTGGTCAGGCGGAGGACACAGGAGAGGTGGAGTAAGGCGAGTGGAAGATGGAAGACTAAGAACCTGGTGAAGTGCCGAGTCAGGTGGTGGCAGCGGTGACTGCGGCTGCGGGAAGAAAAACGGTCGCCGCTGCGCAGTACCTTTAGTACCAGAGCCTCCAGCTCAAGTACCTCCAGCACCTGTACCGCCAGTAGCTCCAGCACCTCCAGCTCCAGCACCTCCAGCACAGCTCCATTACCTCCAGTACCTCCAACTCCAGTACCTCCAGCACCTCCAACTCCAGCACCTCTAGCACCAGTAGCTCCAGTACCTCCAGCACCAGTAGCTCCAGCACCTCAAGTACCTCCAGCTACAGCACCTCCAGTAACTCCAGCTCCAGCGCCTCCAGCACCTCTAGCTCCAGTACCTCCAGTACCTCCAGCTCCTGTACCTCCAGCACCTCCAACTCCAGTACCTCCAGAATCAGCAGCTCCAGCACCTCCAGCACCAGTACCTCCAGCACCAGCAGCTCCAGTGCCTCCAGCTCCAGCATCTCTAACACCAGTACCTCCAGCACCTCCGGAGTCTCCGGCAGGAGTACCCACAACTCCACCACCAGTAGGACACGCAGCACCCTCATAACCAGCACCCCCAGAGTCCGCACCCCCAGTGTCACCACCTCCTGCAGCCCCATAGTCCACAGCGACTGGGTGTAGAGGTGGTGAAGACTGCCTAGGCGGAAACCCAGGAGGGGTCGCCAAGCGCGGTGAGCGGCGAGTGGCTGCTGTGTCGTCAGCAGCTGGGTCACCCCCCTCAGGTGGGCGAGAGGTGTCGGAGGAGACCTCCAACGGCACAACCAAGGGGGGTGGGTCAAACTGGGAGACACCTGAGGGAGCAGGACCCTGCGGGGAGAGGGTTGCTATTGGGGGGGGGTGGGGGTCGGGTACCAGGAAGAGAGGCGGGAGGGGCACGGGGGAGCTGTGGTGGGGGTGGAGACAGTAGAAGCAGACAGACTCGTCAAAAGTGACGTCCTGGGAGGAGAGGACACGGTGAGAACCCGGGTGGTAAAACTACCATGGCGGTGCATTGGTAGGAAAGCTAAGGAAGACGCAGCGAAGAGTGCGAGGAGAGAGCTTGCCCGCGGGAGGATCGCGGACGAGCAAGGGAACCCCAGACCCGAAACGCCGACGCATCACCAACCTCTCCCGTCCACCGCAGAGTAGGGGAGGTCTCCGGGTGGGAGACACGGGGCCAGAGGTTGAGCTGGTGCGCGGCGTATCGGACCTCAATCTGCTGCAGAAAATGGGGAGCCGCCGCATGGACAAGGGAGGTGCGAGCAACCTCTACGACCAAGCCAATGCGGCGCTCTGCAATCCCATTATGTTGTGGAGAGGCCAGAAGCATGAACGACTGGATGATGCCCTCAACACCACAGAAGTCCTCGAGGAGGTAGGAGGAAAACTCACCACCTCGGTCAGAGAGCAGTCGCATGACCGGGAGGTCCTGCTAGAACCGAGCGCTGAGCTGGCGACGGACAGCGCGGATCCAGCCAATCAAGACACTGCGGACGTCCGCCTTGCTGTGCAAGGGGAAGACTGTGGTGTAGCGCATGTAGTCGTCAACAACCAGCAGAAAGTAGCGCTCGCCGCCCTGTCCAGTGACACGGGCTGGACCCCACACGTCCATGTGGAGGGTCTGCAGAGGAGCTGTGGTTGGAGGAAACGAGGAGGAGTGAGGAGCGGCGCACTGCCGCCCCTCGATGCAAGGAAGGCACGGCGGAGAAAGCGACCTCGAGAGCGGGGGCAGGGACTTGGGGAGACCAGAGGCAAGGAGACAGGAGTGCATGCTGCGCAGACACAGCTGAGTGGGGTGACCACCCACAATACCTCCAACTCCAGCATCAGGACCGCCAGTACCTCCAACTCCTGGACCAACAGCACAAGCACCTACAGGGCCAGTACCTCCAATACCTCCAGCGCCAACACGCCCAGCTCCGCCACCGGGGCTGCCCCGCCGGACAGCCCACTCGCGAAGCCGCTCCGGCGAGAGAGGCTCCTGTCGACGTGAGACAGGAGCACCCGCAACAACACCCATAGAACCAGAACCTCCAGTACCTCCAGTAGCACCAGTGCCTCCAGTACCAGTACCTCCACCACGGTCAACTCCAGGAACACCAGCACTAGCACCTCCAGGTCCAGCACCTCCAGGACCTCCAG